GATCTACATTCTCTCCTGGTTGTTACGTTTGTGTAGTTCACTTATGTTTGAAAAAGGCTGCCCGGCCCAGATGTTACATTGTGTTGTTTTGTGGACATTTTTCTGCTTCACCATTTTGTTGAGCTTTTTAGTCTGATTTCTCTGGAATTTCTCACAGTAGCTGCAGACCAGGGAACAGCCTCTGTATAAAGCTTTGGCTGCAGACAGGGAACAGCCTCTGTATAAAGCTTTGGCTGCAGGCAGGGAACAGCCTCTGTATGAAGATTTGGCTGCAGGCAGGAGCCTCTGTATAAAGCTTTGCTGACAGGGGAACAGCCTCTTTTAAAGCTTTGCTGCAGGCAGGGGAAACAGCCTCTGTATAAAGCTTTGGCTGCAGGCAGGGAACAGCCTCTGTATGAAGATTTGGCTGCAGGCAGGGAATAGCCTCTATATGAAGATTTGGCTGCAGGCAGGGAACAGCATCTGTATAAAGCTTTGGCTGCAGACAGGGAACACCCTCTGTATAAAGCTTTGGCTGCAGACAGGGAACACCCTCTGTATGAAGCTTTGGCTGCAGGCAGGGAACACCCTCCGTATAAAGCTTTGGCTGCAGACAGGGAACACCCTCCGTATAAAGCTTTGGCTGCAGACAGGGAAACCCTCTGTATGAAGCTTTGGCTGCAGACAGGGAACAGCCTCTGTATAAAGCTTTGGCTGCAGGGAGGGAACACCCTCCGTATAAAGCTTTGGCTGCAGACAGGGAACAGCCTCCGTATAAAGCTTTGGCTGCAGACAGGGAACAGCCTCTGTATGAAGCTTTGGCTGAAGACAGGGAACACCCTCTGTATAAAGCTTTGGATGCAGGCAGGGAACACCCTCTGTATAAAGCTTTGGCTGCAGACAGGGAACAGCCTCTGTATGAAGCTTTGGCTGAAGACAGGGAACACCCTCTGTATAAAGCTTTGGATGCAGGCAGGGAACACCCTCTGTATAAAGCTTTGGCTGCAGACAGGGAAAAGCCTCTGTATGAAGCTTTGGCTGCAGGCAGGGAACACCCTCTGTATAAAGCTTTGGCTGCAGACAGGTAACACCCTCTGTATGAAGATTTGGCTGCAGGCAGGGAACAGCCTCTGTATAAAGATTTGGCTGCAGGCAGGGAACAGCCTCTGTATGAAGATTTGGCTGCAGGCAGGGAACAGCCTCTGTATGAAGATTTGGCTGCAGGCAGGGAACACCCTCTGTATAAAGCTTTGGCTGCAGACAGGGAACACCCTCTGTATAAAGCTTTGGCTGCAGACAGGAAACACCCTCTGTATGAAGCTTTGGCTGCAGACAGGGAACAGCCTCTGTATGAAGCTTTGGCTGCAGGCAGGGAACACCCTCCGTATAAAGCTTTGGCTGCAGACAGGGAACACCCTCCGTATAAAGCTTTGGCTGCAGACAGGGAACACCCTCCGTATGAAGATTTGGCTGCAGACAGGGAACAGCCTCTGTATAAAGCTTTGGCTGCAGACAGGGAACACCCTCCGTATAAAGCTTTGGCTGCAGGGAGGGAACACCCTCCGTATAAAGCTTTGGCTGCAGGGAGGGAACAGCCTCCGTATAAAGCTTTGGCTGCAGACAGGGAACAGCCTCTGTATAAAGCTTTGGCTGCAGACAGGGAACACCCTCTGTATAAAGCTTTGGATGCAGGCAGGGAACACCCTCCGTATAAAGCTTTGGCTGCAGACAGGGAACAGCCTCTGTATGAAGCTTTGGCTGCAGGCAGGGAACACCCTCTGAATAAAGCTTTGGCTGCAGACAGGGAACACCCTCTGTATAAAGCTTTGGCTGCAGACAGGGAACACCCTCTGTATAAAGCTTTGGCTGCAGACAGGGAACACCCTCTGTATGAAGCTTTGGCTGCAGACAGGGAACACCCTCTGTATAAAGCTTTGGCTGCGTACAGGGAACACCCTCTGTATAAAGCTTTGGCTGCAGACAGGGAACACCCTCTGTATGAAGCTTTGGCTGCAGACAGGGAACACCCTCTGTATGAAGCTTTGGCTGCAGACAGGGAACACCCTCTGTATGAAGCTTTGGCTGCAGACAGGGAACACCCTCTGTATGAAGCTATGGCTGCAGACAGGGAACACCCTCTGTATAAAGCTTTGGCTGCAGACAGGGAACACCCTCTGTATGAAGCTTTGGCTGCAGGCAAGGGTCAGAGGCTGAAAAGGGGAAAATCATGGATGGCTCAAGCAGAAGACACAATAAGACAAGTATGCATGCTGGAGAACATTGGGCCAGGAGAGGAGTGGGCCAGAGTACCAGCGGGAGAGTCTGACCTGTGTAATGTTATGATAACATTGGGCTGGGAGTGCAGAGAGTGACCAGCGGGGGCTCCTGAGGTGGAAGTCCAACAGTTGATTCACAACAATTCTTGTCCTGATGATCTGATTATCTACACAGATGGTAATGTACTGAGAGGGAAAAGAAGTACCTGGGAGTTCGTAACAGAAGCCAGTGGAAAATTTTTAGTGCAGGACAGCCTGGCATATGATACCACATCTAGCATGAGAAAGGAGGTGAAGGCGTTCACTATAGCTTGCCAGGAGCATGCTGAAAAGGTGCAGACAGGATTTCTTCGAGCAGAGTGGCAAGCTTAACTTGCAAGGTGACGGGTAGTAAGCATACTTTGGATCTTTTCTCCAGGGCATGCCAGCATTTTGTGGAATGAAGAGGCAGACAGATTAGCTGGATCTGCACAGCTGTGTGGTGAATAGATACATGACAAGGCAGATGTGGTCAGAACCCTTTGGGAAGAAGTAAAAAAGTCAGAAGAGAAACTAGATTATTATGGGCTGGAGAGAATGCTGCACCTGGGTGTGACCAGAGGGTTCGGCTGGCACAGAATGCTGCACTTGGGTGTGACCAGAGGGTTCGGCTGGCACAGAATGCTGAACTTGGGTGTGACCAAAGGGTTCGGCTGGCACAGAATGCTGAACTTGGGTGTGACCAGAGGGTTCGGCTGGCACAGAATGCTGAACTTGGGTGTGACCAGAGGGTTCGGCTGGCACAGAATGCTGCACCTGGGTGTGACCAGAGGGTTCGGCTGGCACAGAATGCTCACAGGAAAGGCAAGATGGACATACAACCAGCACCATTAGTATTGGAACTCTGCGCTGCTAAGGATGGAGGACGGAGTGAACATGGAAAAGCTTCAAGTGCTGTGATGTCAATTATTGACTCAACTCAACTAGAGGGGGGAGGAGGGGCTTCCTTAAGAAACATGTCACAAAAGTTGAAATGTAGCCGTTAGATTTCACCTCGCATGTAGCAAATGAGTTATAATAATCTCGCCTCTCCTGTAGCCAGTACTAGTTATCACACCAACATACAGCACAAAAATACAACAGCAAAGAATACATTACCAACAGCATAAACAATGTGTGTTCATCTTTATCATTAATAGTACATAAAATATGTGTGAATTTTTTTCATTAATAGCACATATAATATATGTCAATGTCACCAGCGCAAACAAGATATGTGCATTTATCACCAACTCAACTCAAACAAGCAACAACCTCAAATGTATGCTTTCACACAACAGGCCACCAATCTGCTACCTTCCAGACAACGCACATCCACATTTAATAAGAGCTCTAGATTAACATATCCTCACTAGAAATAACATTGTAATGAGTGCCAAGTGTTGTTCCTCATAGAGACCGCAGTAGAAATCTACTGGTCAGTCTGGTAGTCACCTCATCCTCAGCTGTGTCTGTCTGAGCCAGAGCCATATCTGACTGGCTCAGACAGCTCTGTCCAACCCATGGGGCGTGGCTTTTGTCTGTGACAGCTCTGTCCAACCCATGGGGCGAGGCTTTTGTCTGTGACAGCTCTGTCCAACCCATGGGGCGTGGCTTTTGTCTGTGACATCTCTGTTCAACCCATGGGGCGTGGATTTTGTCTGTGACATCGCTGTCCAACCCATGGGGCGTGGCTTTTGACTGTGACATCTCTGTCTAACCCATGGGGCGTGGCTTTTGACTGTGACATCTCTGTCTATCCCATGGGGCGTGGCTTTTGACTGTAACATCTCTGTCCAACCCATGGGGCGTGGCTTTTGTCTGTGACATCTCTGTCTAACCCATGGGGCGTGGCTTTTGTCTGTGACAGCTCTGCCCAACCCATGAGGTGTGGCTTTTGTCTGTGACAGCTCTCTCCAACCTATGAAGTATGGCTTTTGTCTACGACAGCTCTCTCCAACTTACAATGTGGAGCTTTTGTCGGTGACAGCTCTTTCCCCAACCTACGATATGGGGCTTTTGTCGACAGCTCTTTCTCCAACCTATGACGTATGGCTTTTGTCTGTGACAGCTCTTTCCCCAACCCAAGATGTGTGGCTTTTGTCTGTGATAGCTCTGTCCAATCTACAACTTGAGCATTTGTTTGTGACAGTACTATCAATAAACTTTAACTATTTAAAATAAGAATTTAAAAATATGGGTATATGCAAGTCTACCATAAAGTGTGACCACTGGAGCCAATGTGGTCCTACCATAAAGTGTGACCACCGGATCCAATGTGGACCTACCAATCAAAGTGACCACCAGAGCCAATCTGGTTCTATGTTATGAAAGTAAGGCCCGCCTCTGAGGTCCACACAGAGAGCTCTGGGTTAAATCCATGAAACTAGCTTTAACAGCTGAGAAACCTTCACACCAGCCCCTATACAGAGATGTCAAGCAAAGATAGAGTAGGTGATTGTCCCGGCTATCCTCCCCAATACTGAGCAACAAGGCAGTCTAAAGTTACATCTCAGGCACTTGATCAGCCTAAAGTTGCATCTCAGGCAGTAGATCAGCCTAAAGTTACATCCCAGGCACTAGATCAGCCTAAAGTTAGATCCCAGGCACAAGAGAGGCCTAAAGTTACATCCCAGGCACAAGGTAAGCCTAAAGTTACATCCCAGGAACTAGATCAGCCTAAAGTTACATCCACTGGCGTGTATCTATGATGACAGCTGAAGAATGCTACTTGCCAAACCGCTGATCCGTGTTGCCGTACTCGATCAGGGCAGATAGGAATGACTTGTATGTGATGCCTTTATGAGATGACAGTGATCTGAGGACAACAACAAATATTTTCATTGGCTCAGCTTGACAGGGGGTGTAGGGTGAAATATGCAGGTTTACAAGAATGTTCAATGTGAAATATGCAGATTTACAAGAATGTTCAATGTGAAATATGCAGGTTTATAAGAATGTTCAATGTGAAATATGCAGGTTTATAAAAATGTTCAATGTGAAATATGCAGGTTTATAAGAATGTTCAATGTGAAATATGCAGGTTTATAATAATGTTCAATGTGAAATATGCAGGTTTATAAGATTGTTCAATGTGAAATATGCAGGTTTATAAGAATGTTCAATGTGAAATATGCAGGTTTACAAGAATGTTCAATGTGAATGCAGATTTATAGCAGGTTTATAAGAATGTTCAATGTAAATATGCAGGTTTTAAGAATGTTCAATGTGAAATATGCAGGTTTATAAGAATGTTCAATGTGAAATATGCAGGTTTACAAGAATGTTCAATGTGAAATATGCAGGTTTATAAGAATGTTCAATGTGAAATATGCAGGTTTACAAGAATGTTCAATGTGAAATATGCAGGTTTATAAGAATGTTCAATGTGAAATATGCAGGTTTATAAGAATGTTCAATGTGAAATATGCAGGTTTACAAGAATGTTCAATGTGAAATATGCAGGTTTACAAGAATGTTCAATGTGAAATATGCAGGTTTATAAGAATGTTCAATGTGAAATATGCAGGTTTACAAGAATGTTCAAATGTGAAATATGCATATGTTTACAAGAATGTTCAATGTGAAATATGCAGGTTTATAAAATGTTCAATGTGAAATATGCAGGTTTATAAGAATGTTCAATGTGAAATATGCAGGTTTATAAGAATGTTTCAATGTGAAATATGCAGGTTTACAAGAATGTTCAATGTGTTCAATGTGAAATATGCAGGTTTATAAGAATGTTCAATGTGAAATATGCAGGTTTATAAGAATGTTCAATGTGAAATATGCAGGTTTACAAGAATGTTCAATGTGAAAATATGCAGGTTTATAAGAATGTTCAATGTGAAATATGCAGGTTTATAAGAATGTTCAATGTGAAATATGCAGGTTTACAATGTGAATGTTTCAATGTGAAATATGCAGGTTTATAAGAATGTTCAATGTGAAATATGCAGGTTTATAAGAATGTTCAATGTGAAATATGCAGGTTTATAAGAATGTTCAATGTGAAATATGCAGGTTTATAAGAATGTTCAATGTGAAATATGCAGGTTTACAAGAATGTTCAATGTGAAATATGCAGGTTTATAAGAATGTTCAATGTGAAATATGCAGGTTTATAAGAATGTTCAATGTGAAGAATATGCAGGTTTACAAGAATGTTCAATGTGAAATATGCAGGTTTACAAGAATGTTCAATGTGAAATATGCAGGTTTACAAGAATGTTCAATGTGAAATATGCAGGTTTACAAGAATGTTCAATGTGAAATATGCAGGTTTACAAGAATGTTCAATGTGAAATATGCAGGTTTATAAGAATGTTCAATGTGAAATATGCAGGTTCAATTATATGCAGTTTATAAATGTTCAATGTGAAATATGCAGGTTTACAAGAATGTTCAATGTGAAATATGCAGGTTTATAAGAATGTTCAATGTGAAATATGCAGGTTTATAAAAATGTTCAATGTGAAATATGCAGGTTTATAAGAATGTTCAATGTGAAATATGCAGGTTTATAAGAATGTTCAATGTGAAATATGCAGGTTTACAAGAATGTTCAATGTGAAATATGCAGGTTTATAAGAATGTTCAATGTGAAATATGCAGGTTTATAAGAATGTTCGATGTGAAATATGCAGGTTTATAAGAATGTTTAATGTGAAATATGCAGGTTTATAAGAATGTTCAATGTGAAATATGCAGGTTTATAAGAAATATGTTTAATGTGAAATATGCAGGTTTATAAGAATGTTTAATGTGAATAAGAATGTTTAATGTGAAATATGCAGGTTTAAAAGAATGTTCAATGTAAAATCGGCAGATTTATAAGAATGTTCAATGTGAAATATGCAGGTTTACAAGAATGTTTAATGTGAAATATGCAGATTTATAATAATGTTTAATGTGAAATGTGCAGATTTATAAGAATGTTCAATGTGAAATATGCAGATTTATAAGAATGTTTAATGTGAAATATGCAGGTTTACAAGAATGTTTAATGTGAAATATGCAGGTTTATAAGAATGTTCAATGTGAAATATGCAGGTTTACAAGAATGTTCAATGTGAAATATGCAGGTTTATAAGAATGTTCAATGTGAAATATGCAGGTTTACAAGAATGTTCAATGTGAAATATGCAGGTTTATGAGAATGTTCAATGTGAAATATGCAGGTTTACAAGAATGTTCAATGTGAAATACGCAGATTTATACGAATTTTCAATGTGAAATATGCAGGTTTATAAGAATGTTCAATGTGAAATATGCAGGTTTATAAGAATGTTCAATGTGAAATATGCAGGTTTACAAGAATGTTCAATGTGAAATATGCAGGTTTACAAGAATGTTCAATGTGAAATATGCAGGTTTATAAGAATGTTCAATGTGAAATATGCAGGTTTACAAGAATGTTCAATGTGAAATACGCAGATTTATACGAATTTTCAATGTGAAATATGCAGGTTTATAAGAATGTTCAATGTGAAATTGACAGGTTTATAAGAATGTTCAATGTGAAATTGGCAGGTTTATAAGAATGTTTAATGTGGAATATGCAGGTTTATAAGAATGTTTAATGTGAAATATGCAGGTTTATAAGAATGTTCAATGTGAAATATGCAGGTTTATAAGAATGTTCAATGTGAAATATGCAGGTTTACAAGAATGTTCAATGTGAAATATGCAGGTTTATAAGAATGTTCAATGTGAAATATGCAGGTTTATAAGAATGTTCGATGTGAAATATGCAGGTTTATAAGAATGTTTAATGTGAAATATGCAGGTTTATAAGAATGTTCAATGTAAAATCGGCAGATTTATAAGAATGTTCAATGTGAAATCGGCAGATTTATAAGAATGTTTAATGTGAAATATGCAGATTTATAATAATGTTCAATGTGAAATATGCAGATTTATAAGAATGTTTAATGTGAAATATGCAGATTTTTAAGAATGTTCAATGTGAAATCGGCAGGTTTATAAGAATGTTTAATGTGAAATCGGCAGGTTTATAAGAATGTTCAATGTGAAATATGTGGGTTAAACATATGGCCTTGCAGACAGGTTTAACATAAAACATGTGGCCCTGCAGACATGTTTAACACAAAATATGTGGCCCTGCAGAAAGGTTCAACATAAAACATGTGGCTTTGCAGACAGGTTCAACATAAAACATGTGGCCTTGCAGACAGGTTCAATCAACATAAAAGAGATTATAATGCTCTCATAATCCTAAATCTGATTGAATGCTTAAGGTCTTCTTTACAGTCTAAAGCTTCAATGTCATCTCCCAAGTGCAGGATCACTAGGACAGTCTGCTGGTGGTCTAGAGAATGCTGTCAGTGGCCACCATGACCTCTAAATCAATAGCAGCCATGTCTGTTGAGAGCTGACAGCAGGACAATGCTGCACTAGTAACACAAGCATCAGCGTCAGCAAACTGATGACATTCTGTCTTCACTAACATCACATACCTATCTCACTTCTTCCATTAATGTCCCCAACATGACATCTCATCTGTCTCTCCCTTCTCCCATTAATGTCCCCAACATGACATCTCATCTGTCTCTCCCCTCTCCCATTAATGTCCCAAAAATGATATCTCCTCTGTGTCTCTCCCATTAATGTCCCCAACATGACATCTCATCTGTGTCTCTCCCCTCCCATTAATGCCCCCAACATGACATCTCATCTGTGTCTCTCCCCTCTCCCAATAATGTCCCCAACATGGCATCTCATATGTGTCTTTCCCCTCTTCCATTAATGTCCCCAACATGGCATCCGTGTCTCTCCCCTCCCATTAATGCTCCCAACATGACATCGCATGTGTCTCTCTCCCCTCTCCCATTACTGTCCCCAACATGACATCTCATCCGTGTCTCTCTCCTCTCCTTTTATTGTCCCCAACTTAACATCTCATCTATGTCTCTCCCATTAATGTCCCCAACATGACATTTCATCTGTCTCTCTTCCCTCTCCCATTACTGTCCCCAACATGACATATCTGTCTCTCTCCCATTAATGTCCCCAACATGACATCTCATCTGGCTCTCTCCCATTAATGTCCCCAACATGAAATCTCATCTCTCTCCCCTCTCTCATTATTGCCCCAACATGACATCTTATCTGTATCTCTCCCCTCTCCCATTACTGTCCCCAACATGACATCTCATCTGTGTCTCTCCCCTCCCATTAATGTCCCCAACATGACATCTCATCTGTGTCTCTCCTCTCCCATTAATGTCCCCAACATGACATCTCATCTGTGTCTCTCCCCTCCCATTAATGTCCCCAACATGACATTTCATCTGTGTCTCTCCCCTCCCATTAATGTCCCCAACATGGCATCTCATCTGTGTCTCTCCCCTCCCATTAATGTCCCCAACATAGCATCTCATGTGTATCTCTCCCCTCTCCCATTACTGTCCCCAACATGACATCCCATGTGTATCTCTCCCCTCTCCCATTACTGTCCCCAACATGACATCTCATCTGTGTATCTCTCCCCTCCCATTACTGTCCCCAACATGACATCTCATCTGTATCTCTCCCCTCTCCCATTACTGTCCCCAACATGACATCTCATGTGTATCTCTCCCCTCTCCCATTACTGTCCCCAACATGACATCTCATATGTGTCTCTCCCCTCCCATTAATGCCCCCAACATAGCATCTCATCTGTGTCTCTCCCCTCCCATTACTGTCCCCAACATGACATCTCATCTGTGTCTCTCCCCTCTCCCATTACATCACTCAGATGACTTCTTATGTTTGTCTCTCTCTCTCATTACTTTCTTCAACATGACACCATCTCCTCATCTTCTTTGCATTCACTGGCTGTAAACTCTTCATCCACTTCAGGACTGTTATCCTGTTACAGATTTGATTCATTTGTATGCTGACTGTTGGTTCCTTGTTCAGGCAGATCCACTCTGACTTCAAAGAAAGCTCCCATTTCATCAACTCTTACGATATGCAGTGGGTCTATTCTGTTTTCTCTACAATAGGGCCTGGTCTATTCTGTTTTCCTTACAAGAGAGCCTGGTCTATTCTTGTTTTCCTTACAAGAGAGCCTGGTCTATTCTTGTTTTCCTTACAATTGGGCCTGGTCTATTCTTTTTTCCTTACAATAGGGCCTGGTCTATTCTGTTTTCCTTACAATAGGGTCTGGTCTATTCTGTTTTCTCTACAATAGGGCCTGGTCTATTCTGTTTTCTCTACAATAGGGCCTGGTCTATTCTGTTTTCCTTACAAGAGAGCCTGGTCTATTCTGTTTTCTCTACAATAGGGCCTGGTCTATTCTGTTTTCTCTACAATAGAGCCTGGTCTATTCTTGTTTTCCTTACAAGAGAGCCTGGTCTATTCTGTTTTCTCTACAATAGGGCCTGGTCTATTCTTGTTTTCTCTACAATAGGGCCTGGTCTATTCTTGTTTTCCTTACAAGAGAGCGTGGTCTATTCTTGTTTTCTCTATAATAGAGCCTGGTCTATTCTTGTTTTCCTTATGAGAGAGCCTGGTCTATTCTTGTTTTCCTCTTATCATTTACAATGATGATTACTACTCAAAATTAACACTGACATGTCATAGCCATGTGACAGTCATGTGACTGTATGCAGATTCAACCAGCTTCTCACTCACACAGACACTCACACAGACACTCACTCAGTCACACAAACTTACATAATTTCCGAGAGACGTATGTGCCAGGGCAGATAGCCCAGCAAACTGTCCAGGGCTCCAAACTTTAAACAAAGGTCAGGGTCAGGAAGCTGTCTAGACTCTGGGACAAAGATGCAGCCATTAGAAATATGTTACACCTGGTCCAGGGAGCAGCACTGGTTGTCTCTTATATGGTCAGGGAATGGTGACATGGCTTACAGTTGACTGATGGCAGGGATTGTATGTGACATGACTTACAGTTGACTGATGGCAGGGATTACATGTGACATGGCTTACAGTTGACTGATGGCAGGGATTGTATGTGACATGACTTACAGTTGACTGATGGCAGGGATTACATGTGACATGGCTTACAGTTGACTGATGGCAGGGATTACATGTGACATGGCTTACAGTTGACTGATGGCAGGGATTACATGTGACATGGCTTACAGTTGACTGATGGCAGGGATTACATAAGACATGGCTTACAGGTGACTGATGGCAGGGATTACATGTGACATGGCTTACATGTGACTGATGGCAGGGATTGTATGTGACATGGCTTACAGTTGACTGATGGAAGGGATTGTATGTGACATGACTTACAGTTGACTGATGGCAGGGATTACATGTGACATGGCTTACAGTTGACTGATGGCAGGGATTACATGTGACATGGCTTACAGTTGACTGATGGCAGGGATTACATGTGACATGGCTTACAGTTGACTGATGGCAGGGATTACATAAGACATGGCTTACAGGTGACTGATGGCAGGGATTACATGTGACATGGCTTACATGTGACTGATGGCAGGGATTGTATGTGACATGGCTTACAGTTGACTGATGGCAGGGATTGTATGTGACATGGCTTACAGGTGACTGATGGCAGGGATTACATGTGACATGGTTTACATGTGACTGATGGCAGGGATTGTATGTGATATGGCTTACAGTTGACTGATGGCAGGGATTACATGTGACATGGTTACAGTTGACTGATGGTGGGGATTACATGTGACATGGCTTACAGGTGACTGGTGGCAGGGATTGTATGTGACATGGCTTACAGTTGACTGATGGCAGGGATTACATGTGACATGGTTACAGTTGACTGATGGTGGGGATTACATGTGACATGGCTTACAGGTGACTGGTGGCAGGGATTGTATGTGACATGGCTTACAGTTGACTGATGGCGGGGATTACATGTGACATGGCTTACAGTTGACTGGTGGCAGGGATTACAAGTGACATGGCTTACAGGTGACTGATGGCAGGGATTGTATGTGACATGGCTTACAGGTGACTGATGGCAGGGATTGTATGTGACATGGCTTACAGTTGACTGATGGCAGGGATTACATGTGACATGGCTTACAGTTGACTGATGGCAGGGATTACATGTGACATGGCTTACAGTTGACTGATGGCGGGGATTACATGCAACATGGCTTACAGTTGACTGATGGTAGGGATTACATGTGACATGATTTAAATGTGACTGATGACATAGAATACATGCAACATGACTTACATGTGACTGATGACATGACAACCACATGACATGGATTACATGTGACATGGCTTACATGTGACTAATAGCAGGAATTACATGTGACATGACTTACGTGTGACTGGTGACATGGATTACATGCAACATGACTTACATGTGACTGATGACATGGCCTACACTTGACATGGATTACATGTAACATGGCTTACAGTTAAGTGATGGCAGAGATTACATGTGACATGGCTTTTAGGTGATTGATGGCAGGGATTACATGTAACATGACTTACATGTGACTGATGACATGGATTACATGTAACATGACTTACAGGTGACTGATGACATGGATTACATGTAACATGGCTTACAGTTGACTGATGGCAGGGATTACATGTGACATGGCTTACAGGTGATTGATGGCAGGGATTACATGTAACAGGACTTACATGTGACTGATGACATGGATTACATGTAACATGACTTACACATAACATGACTAGCACCCTCGATCTCACTCTAGTCTCCCCCAGCATAACTGCTCTCTGCCAGTGGGGCGTGCTGGGACACCATAGAAATGACCACTTTCCATGCTCGATTTTGGTCAAGGAAATAACATGTACAAGATCCCAGAAACCAGACGCCATTTTTTAGGAACTGGGTATACCTGATATAACTGGGCGTTTACAAGACAGGGTACACAAAACACCGGGGAGGAAGGCATGGACTGAGAAACAAAGTGCAACCAAAGAATGGGAGAAATGCAGAAAGTTTTCAAGACTGTCTGATACACACAAGCAAGCCATGAAAGAAAGAAAAGATGACCTGACAGGATTCTTCCAACAAACTGCAAGGAAGGCCAGGCACACCACATGGGAGATATTTTGCAATGAAATGGGTGCGAAAAATCACAGCAGTATGATCGATGGCAAACAATGGTGTAGTATGCCCAAATTAAAGATGAACGGTGGGGTGATCTTAAGATTTGATTTAGACAAAGGTGCAGCACTCCTGCAAAGATTTCTCCTGCAAACCAAAAAGACAGAGACGAGAGGAAGCAGATGAAACAAACAGCCCACAACATGAACATCGCTGAAATGGATGGAGAAGATGACACAGTGTACACCTCAGTGGCAAACATCACAGCTATACTGAAGACCTGTCCCGACCCATCTCTAGGGCCCAATGGCATAAGATTCAGTGACTTCAACAGCCTCGAGGAAACATGCTCATCAGACTCTTCATGGATATGCACACAGAGACGAAATGGGTCAACTGGATCACAGCAGTGCTCTTCAAAAGAAATTGTCGATGAGATGCGGTACGTGGGCATCGATACCTCAAAGCGACTTAATGGGCTTGTCTCAGGGATCACCAATGTCTCCCATTTTTTTAAATGTGTACACATCATTACTCACCAGTTCACAGATAGTAGGTTTGGGCAGAACAATGTTGTTCGCAGACGACATCCTGGTGTACCGACGAGGAAACAACAGGGAAGAAACCACAACAACTCTATAGCATGAATTAGATGGACTCAGTGAGTGCTGCTAGGAATCAAGCGCAGAGGTAAACCCAGCAAAGGCTTCCTTAACATGGTTCTCCTTGAACACCCACATTGTCAATACACCTATGCCAGTTGTGAGCATGTGCGGTACAGAAACTGACAGAAGGAACACAATGAGATAACTAGATATAACTTTTGACAGATGCTTGTCATACAAGAATCACGTAGACAATGTAATAGTTAGAGCCAGGAAAGGTCTGACAGTGCTGACGGCATACCCTGACACTGAACAATGACTACTGTTCCTGCTTTATCAGGGACTTGTACCGATTGTTATAGACTACGGTCTGGGCCTCCTCACTGTCAGCAGAGCCCAGCTAGAAAGACTAGACCAGGTAAAAAAAATGAGGCCATGAGACTTATATTTGGTTAAAGAAAAGACACCTAGTGCGACACCATGCAGTATGTCCTAGGTTCAAAGACCATTGCCCCTAGACACAACGTGAGGACATCAGCAGATATCAACCACCCACTGCATATAAAAGGGATGGGTCTCAAAAGATGCTCTTCTTAGCTGGCCGAGGCAGAAAATCTAATCCAGCAAGTATGTGACCTAGATGAGATCAGTCACGGACAAGAATGGGCAGATCCACCAGCAGACATGCATGACTTGTCTAAGGTTGTCACAACACTGGTGAGATACTGCAGGAGGAGTCAGATACCTGCCACCGTAGATGCCAAGATGATGGCACTGGCTGATCAGCATTCACATCTAGAAGATGTCGTCATTTACACAGATGGGTCCATGAAATGCGGATCAAGATCAGCATGGGCATGAACAGCACAAAAGATGGGGGAAACAATCAAAGTGGACAGCAGGGTTTACCAGACAACTATGTCAAGCATGACCATGGAGATAACTGCTGCTTTCAGAGCACTGGCGTGGGTAGCAGAACAAGCGGCCACACACGCGGTAATCGTTTCAGACTCTGAACATGCTTCAGAAAATCACTACAGGGAGTCTACACTCTGAATGAGATGAAAGCATTTGAAAGTCGCAGTTTACCTCCAACATCTGGATCTACAAACATGGGCATGCAGGAGTAAAGGGTAATGAGAGAGCTGGCAAGTAAGGCACCAATGAAAACAGAAAAAAGCATGGACAGAGCTGATATCTCAACGCTGTACGGACTAGGTTGGGGGATAGATGTGAATCTCTGATGCTTACACGACAGGAGTTCAGCTTGGTACAGCACGTCTGTCGTCTTGGAGGTAAAGACTGGAGAGACTGTAACCAACTCCTCATGGGAATAATCAGTAGAGGTACCTTGGAGTGGCTGGTGACATGACTTAAATGTGACTGGTGACATGACTTACATAGCCTACAAATGACATGGATTACATGTGACTTGGCTTACCCTGAATCATGCTGTCTACAATGGACGGCTGGATATCCTCTAGCCTGTACATTCCTGCAGCCACCATCTGGCTCAGGTGACGCGCTGTCTGTACAATGTTTTTGCGACCATCGTCCACACACAACAAATGGACTCTGCCTCCATGTGTTTTAGGTAAAGCTGCAAGACAAACATTGTCCCATGTTTTAGGTAAAGCTGCAAGACAAACATTAGAGCTGCAAGGCCATGTCTCATTTAGGTAAAGCTGCAAGACAAACAACATTGTCTGCAAGACAAACATTGTCTCATGTTTAGGTAGAGCTGCAAGGCAAACATTGTCTCATGTTTTTAGCTGCAAGACAAACATTGTCTCATGTTTTAGTAAGCTGCAAGACAAACATTGTCTCATGTTTTTTAAGTAAGAGCTGCAAGACAAACATTGTCCCATGTTTTAGGTAAAGCTGCAAGACAAACATTGTCTCATGTTTAGGTAGAGCTGCAAGGCAAACATTGTCTCATGTTTTAGGTAAAGCTGCAAGACAAACATTGTCTCATGTTTTAGGTAAAGCTGCAAGACAAACATTGTCTCATGTTTTAAGTAGAGCTGCAAGACAAACATTGTCTCATGTTTTAGGTAAAGCTGCAAGACAAACATTGTCTCATGTTTTAAGTAAAGCTGCAAGACAAACATTGTCTCATGTTTTAAGTAGAGCTGCAGACAAACAAGACAAACATTGTCTCATGTTTTAAGTAGAGCTGCAAGACAAATGGTGCTCATGTTTTAGGTAAAGCTGCAAGACAAACATTGTCTCATGTTTAGGTTGTTTTTAAGTAGATGCAAGACAAAGATTGTCTCAGATACATGTTTGGCAAGACTAGACACAGGTGGTGACACCAAAATGGATGGTGGACAAGATTGGAGATGAGAGTGAGGGTTGGTGGCTGAGGGACAGAGAAGGTTTGTAGATGAGAGACAGACATGGTTGATGGATGAGATACAGACAGGGTTGGTAGATGAAAGCGAGGGTTGGTGGCTGAGAGACAGACAAGGTTGGTGGATGAAAGACAGAGGGTTGGTGGATGAGTTTGGGTTTGTTAAAAAAAAAAAAATTACATTTCTACGCAGTTAACTTACCTCTTACCCCCCAAAAATGAAGGTAGTGAGGATAAAAATACGTGTATGTGCCAAAATTTACCTGAAGGGGGTCGTAGAACAGGATGTGATGATGAAAATATCTGGATGTCGCAGCTAGACAAATCCTGTCCCAACACCTGCTCCTTGCTGGCACGGATGTTTTGCTGCAGCAGTAAACTGTTGCGCTTAACTTCACCTGTAGGTGGACACAACAGTCATAAGATCATCCAGCTAATAGTTCACAAGATAACACAGCCAACAGACGACACACTGACTATCACTGAATGTTTTATAGAAGACTGTCCAGTCTGTCACCAGTGAGATGTACAGGACCTTCTCTTGGTGCCTCCTCCACAGATCCACCTTCAGACATTTCCTGTGTCTGATGTTGGGATCCAAGCTTTAAAACATAAATGCTATAGATTAATTTTATGGCTATCCTCCAAATAACGGTCCCAAATTATCGAGTCTAAGAAAATACTCTAACAGGGCCTCAGTCATATGTAAATTGCAGACCTCTTTCTGGCGACTATACGCATACCACGGAAAAGCTTTCACCAAGAGTTCTCGCTACGAGCGGAGAGGGGGGGGGGGGGGGGGGGGGGGGGGTAAACTAGATGGATGGGACTCAGGAGCATCAGCTACCGCATCTCCTGCAGCTTCCTCCCTTTTATTTGCTTGTGAGTCCCAGCCGTCTAGTTTAGCTCCCCTCCGCGCCGCGGAGGATACTCTAGTGGTGGCGGTATAGTCACCGGAAAGAGGTTTGCAAAATACATATGACTGATGCCCTGTTAGGGTATTTCCTTAGCCTCGATAATGTGGGACCGTTATTCGGAGAATAGCCAACTGGACAAATGAGCTTTTAAGAAGATGAGACTCAAAAATCTGTAACAGACAAAAGTAAACAGATCTGCAGGACACCAGGAGCCTCTGTTGGCAGGGGTCAAAGGTCACAAGCTATTCTGGTTTGTGCACGTGCTGAAATATGATTCAATAATTCAATTGCAAAGACTTCAAGGAACTTTAAAGGGTAGTTGAAAAACAGAAAGGAACGATGGCGGTGTTAAGAAGAACATGGAATGAAAAATAAAATGATGAAATAAACAGGATTCAATGATTATACACTTATTCAACAAGCAGAAGACAGAGAAAGATGGTTGATTTTGTGTGCCAGTGCTTCCACTTATTTTGTTGCTGTTGTTGTTGCAGATCACAACTGTTATAAATTGACAATAATGTTGTTTTATCTTCATAGTTTTTTTCTTTTGAAACATTCACAACAAACACCTTCTATTCAAATTGAACACAGGATTTTCGATGATGAGCACACTTTTGGATTTTCGATTTGTTTTCTCATCACAATATCAAAATTCATGAAATTACCTATCTGATATATTATTATATTATATTTGAAAGTATTAGTACTATTATCTAGTCCACCTCATGTCTATGTGTGGGACACCTAACAGTGAATGTCGTATAATATTGTAAGGAACGGGAATTTAAAAATATGTATGCTGTAATAGTAATGGTGTGGCCCTGTCGCAATAAATACAGTAAACAAAACATTTCGGACACGTTATTACTAATTGACACAGAGTCCAGACTGTGCTTTGCGTGTGGTTTATATCACACTCTAAACAAGAGAGTTCTGAGAATGGCCGAAGCTTTAATAATTAAAAACAAAACAAAACAGAACGACCGATTACCGTTGAAATCATAAACACTGATGTAAGAGACGCCTAGAGTCACCGACCAGACAATCAAGTTGGCCAAGTCCCGGAAAGAAAAGTCCTCCTCCAGGACCAGAAAGCCGACGTGAGCGGGGACTTTCTTGAGCAACTTTCTGTCGGCTTCCAAGGACGGTTTCTTCCACGTCAAACTGTGAACCGGCAGCCACAGCAGAAGACCGTAGAGAAACTGCCCTAGTGAGATGACATAGTGGATGAACCGGAGCAGCAGAGTCCTCATGGTTGTGGGGCGTGTAGGTAGATGGGCAGTCAGCGGGAGCTAGGAGACGGAGACAAGCTGATGAAACCAGCCATTGTGGCAGACGCCATACACACAACTCGTGTCGAACCGGAACTACAAGCTTCTACTTCCGGGGTCGCCGGCCGGTCTTTGCCCTTGCTTGTTGAGGGAGAGTTTTCAGCATAAACGATACCTTTCATGTTTGTTTCTGGTCAGGTATGGGATATACCCACGGTAAACTATCTACAGACTCTTATCTTCTTCCCAAGGCTCATCAAATACCGCACTGAAAATCTCGCTTTCATGCTTGTAAACAGCTGCTAGACAGATGGAGAGATTTGATTAGCTGACCTTTTACATGGACACGCCCACGAGATTACGTGCATGGATAAATTAAAAAAAAAAATACGTATAGGAAATTTGGGACATCGAGAGAGGCCATGGAGGTAGCACTAGGCATCACACCGCTTGACCTCAGAAGGAAGCAATTAACATATAGCTATTTGATGAAAGCGGCCAACGATGCCAGACACCCAGCCTCGGACGCTTTTTACACCCAGCCTCGGACGCTTTTTATCCTAATTTTACCCACCTCGGTGACAAACCGATCAGTGATATACTAAGACCAGCAGCCTGGGACGCTGCACTAAAAATGAACGATTATGAGGACTTAGCAAGGACTCTAGAGGCGAGCGTTAGGTTTATCCCTCAAAATCCTCCATGGAGACTAGAACTGCCTAGGACAGACATGAGGCTGATGAAAAGTATTAATGAAAATACTGAACTGAAACTAAAACAATAACAGAAGAATACATAGACCAGATCCGATCAGACAGCCTGGCTGCATATACTGATGGGTCTAAGAACGAAGCAGGAGAAGTAGGAACAGGAGTAATTATCCCTCAATGGGGAATGCACAAAGAATAAAAAATAACAGATCATATGGCAGTATGCACAGCAGAACTAGTCGGCATAATAAAGGCACTAGAGATGGTAATAAATAAACCTCCAATAAAATTCCCCATACTGACAGATTCGTTGTCCTCAGTGCAGACGTTAAGAACTCATAAAACTAGCAGTGGACCAGATGTTTTAAAGAAACGATCTTAAACCCAACAACCCAACTTAAGAATAAAGCATCTGCTAAGGCCCTCGACGATGGTTAGGAAGTAACTGGACGTTTAGCCGGGGTGGGGTGTATTATAGAAGAGATTGTTATATTCTCAGTCAAGTGTCATCATTTGTTAAATTTTTGTCAACTTGCTAATCTGATATAATAAGAATAATAATAACAATGACTATTATTATTATTCAATAATATTACCTAAATGAACTTATGAGATTAAATATACAAAACCGGTTTTGTAAAATCAATAAAAATCCGTTAATGTTCTGAGAGGCAACACAAATTATGAAAGGTTATTGTGAGTACATGTGTTTTATTTTGTAAGCTTGAAAATGTCGATACCTTGATCATAAAAGCATATCTCTTGAATTTGCACTAATGACCTAATACCATAATGATTACTTCAATAGTTATTCACAACAGTCTGAGTTTACATTTCACACTTAAAAACTTTCAGTCTCGGATGATTTGAAAGTAGAAAACACAGTTTGGCACAATTGTCACAGTTAAAAGGGCATTGGTGTACAACTGTCCAGAATCGGGCAATGAACTGCGTGTACAATATTTGGCCAGATTATTGCATGCCCAGAAAAAAATATAAAATCATATTAACAACACACCAGGCGTTGCGTTAATACACACGGATATATTCTAATAAAGCATTGCTGGAGACAAAAAGAGCTAGCTGTATACATCCGTTACTTTTTACTATCCTGAATTTTACTGGCAAAAGTAGTTAAACAGGCTTCCTAATTATACATTACAATGTCTTTACAAGTAGCCCTAAAACGAAGCAATCGCTAATGCACATTTAAACAAAAATTATGAAGCCCTTCTCCATACCCCCCCCCCCCCCCCCCCCGCCCTTTTCCCCTTTCTGGCCAAATATCCTAGGTTGCCATGGGCGCCAAATACCTTAGGTTGCCAGGGGCGCTAAATACCCTAGCTACGCCCAGTCCCTGACAACCGTTACACTCAAACACGAAATATTAGCTTGTCGTAATTCTCAGTTCGGGCGAGCGCAGGGAGGACAGTATCTTTAAGGCAGGCCGGTACAGTATCTTTAAGGCAGGCTGGTACAGTATCTTTAAGGCAGGCTGGTACAGTATCTTTAAGGCAGGCTGGTACAGTATCTTTAAGGCAGGCTGGTACAGTATCTTTAAGGCAGGCTGGTACAGTATCTTTAAGGCAGGCTGTAACAGTATCATTAAGGCAGGCTGGTACAGTATCTTTAAGGCAGGCTGGTACAGTATCTTTAAGGCAGGCTGGTACAGTATCTTTAAGGCAGGCCGGTACAGTATCTTTAAGGCAGGCCGGTACAGTATCTTTAAGGCAGGCTGGTACAGTATCTTTAAGGCAGGCTGGTACAGTATCTTTAAGGCAGGCTGGTACAGTATCTTTAAGGCAGGCTGGTACAGTATCTTTAAGGCAGGCTGGTACAGTATCTTTAAGGCAGGCCGGTACAGTATCTTTAAGGCAGGCCGGTACAGTATCTTTAAGGCAGGCTGGTACAGTATCTTTAAGGCAGGCTGGTACAGTATCTTTAAGGCAGGCTGGTACAGTATCTTTAAGGCAGGCTGGTACAGTATCTTTAAGGCAGGCTGGTACAGTATCTTTAAGGCAGGCTGGTACAGTATCTTTAAGGCAGGCTGGTACAGTATCTTTAAGGCAGGCTGGTACAGTATCTTTAGGGCAGGCTGGTACAGTATCTTTAAGGCAGGCCGGTACAGTATCTTTAAGGCAGGCTGGTACAGTATCTTTAAGGCAGGCCGGTACAGTATCTTTAAGGCAGGCTGGTACAGTATCTTTAAGGCAGGCTGGTACAGTATCTTTAAGGCAGGCTGGTACAGTATCTTTAAGGCAGGCTGGTACAGTATCTTTAAGGCAGGCCGGTACAGTATCTTTAAGGCAGGCTGGTACAGTATCTTTAAGGCAGGCCGGTACAGTATCTTTAAGGCAGGCTGGTACAGTATCTTTAAGGCAGGCTGGTACAGTATCTTTAGGGCAGGCTGGTACAGTATCTTTAAGGCAGGCTGGTACAGTATCTTTAAGGCAGGCTGGTACAGAATCATTAAGGCAGGCCGGTACAGTATCATTAATGCAGGCTGGTACAGTATCTTTAAGGCAGGCTGGTACAGTATCTTTAAGGCAGGCTGGTACAGTATCTTTAAGGCAGGCTGGTACAGTATCTTTAAGGCAGGCTGGTACAGTATCTTTAAGGCAGGCTGGTACAGTATCTTTAAGGCAGGCTGGTACAGTATCTTTAAGGCAGGCTGGTACAGTATCTTTAAGGCAGGCTGGTACAGTATCTTTAAGGCAGGCTGGTACAGTATCTTTAAGGCAGGCTGGTACAGTGTCTTTAAGGCAGGCTGGTACCGTATCGCTGTTTATTTCTTTTATTTTAAGTGGCTAGACTGATATCTGAAATTAGCTGCCTTTAACCAATAGCTAACGGTAATTATTTGCGCGGAGGGTGGGAGGGAGGAGGAGATAGCGACTTCCCCGAGCTCCCAGATACCGGCGCTTATATATGGTAACGTTGTTATCAGTGTTCGACTTGGACACTAGCAACAGACTCAGCACACTTCATAGAGAGCAAGTGCAAGGAAGCAAGTGACGGCTGCCTTGTCGACCAGGCGGACAGAGAAAGCCAGGTAAATCCAAAAGCGGACAACAAAGTTTAACGTTTTGGGGAAAATGATACAACAGTACCAACTGTCACATCAGCGCGAGCTGGAACGGAGGAGGGGGCAGGGTGATTGCAGAGTCGAAAATAGCGCACGAACAGTCAACATGAGGTTACAGAAGGACCCAGTCTCTCTGAAATGCTGTTTTGACGAGTCTATCATTTTTCAGTGCGATAATTTTAACTGGACAGTTCTTCTCATTGTGTATTCTGTTCGGTGACCAAGTGAACTTTATTTTGTTCTCTCTGTATGCTCTGCAAAAGTTATTCTGCCAACATTAGTAATTCTGTCACACAATTGAATCCTCTTTATCATGCGGAGGCTGATAATTATCAATGAATATTTGTATTTTTTTTATTAGTAACTTTTTTTAGTCATTCTCGATGTTTCAGCTCCAGTAATCTGGTAATCTTAGTTTCAGTTTCATAGCAAAGGGTCACACCATAGTTGCTCCGCTCCTGTGCCAACGAAAAACACACAAAATGTTTATCATAGTTCAAATGAAATCCGCTGCTCACAAAGTCACGCCATGCACTCAACTCAGAAGTTGGGCAACGAACTATATCCTTCCAGTCTACAAATGGAGCAAACATGCAACGGCCACCGTCTAGCAGGAGCTAAAAAAATTGCCACGTCTAAAAAAAAGTTGCGTGCCTAGCGTCCATTTTGACCTGAAGCATTATGTGAGGGTTAATAAACGGTCACCCCAGCAGTAACCTCACTATTAGATGGGGAAGGGACTTAGGACATTACATCCACCAGCAAGCGTCGCCCCTACAACAACCTGATTGCCTTCGTTAACGACTGTTCACCCAACAGCTATGCAGTTCTTTGGCACGAAGGAGACACCTTGAACTTAGGTTTCGGACTGCCGACTACCTACAAGATATTAGTTATCTTCTGTTATAGCATTCGACGTCACTGTACAATTGGCATTCCCATGCGTGTTCAGTCCTCTGATGCAGCAGCCACTCCAAAGTACTTCTACTAATTGTTAACACGAGAAGCTGGTTATATTGTCTCCTATCTCGGCCTCGAAGACGGCAAAGACGTGCTTTACCATGCTTTACTCCCATGTCACGCAATCGTGCCAGTGTCAGGGATTCCTCATTATCCACTAGCTCCATGAAGCAGTACTGTGTTAGTGCTATTACAGAAACTATAGCTTTTTGTATGGGGTGATAAGC